CACATTCAACCTTTATCAAGTCCTTTCAGGTTAGTTTGTTGAAGGAGGTGCAATTTAATACTGTAGAACCTCTGCGACAAATCAGTAAGCATTCCATTATCTAAGCTGATTTTTATCACTCTCACAAATACCTTAAGGACTTTATGATTCTGGCTTCTCATTATGGGCACCTTTCCTTGCTTAGTTTTAGATATGACTCCTCTCTCTTTCTTTTTAAAATGTTTACATGTTTGCACTGCGTGATGATTACATTCATCATAGAGAGTTGGTACATGTACATAACTTTCAATTTAAATATAAGAAGGGAGGGAAAGTGATTTAAGTTACCTGTTCAGGGTAACTTGGACAATTCCTAACAAAGGAAACATTACAAAGTTTTATAAGGATTTGTATTGCTAACTGGCCAAACATCATGATTATTTCTATTGCTCCAGAATAATCTTTAGTTTATCTTGTAAAAAGTTTTTTGATAGCAGCTCTTCAGAATCGCTTTTCACATGGTTGGGGTGGAAATCATGGGACCAGGTGCAAGATAGGAACTGGTGTCCACCCTGTGCTGTGGAAGCTGAAGGAGAAGACCAAAGTATTAAGATGAGGAATTGGAAGAAAAAAAAGGGAAAGAAATAAAAGGAGCCAGTTTTTGACTATTGCATTTCTTCTTTACTGGTTTGCAAACTACATATTACTTTTTTTGCTGTTCTCTTCAATATTTACTCTTAAAGTAGTTACCTTTGTCTTATGAAAAAATTCTCAATATTTACTCTTAATTAAAATAGTTGCATTTGACTTACTAATTATCTGGTTGCAACAATAATGTAGGGCAATTTAATTTCATTTACCCCATCCTGATATTATTATCATTATTTTATGTCCTACTCAATTTTTCACTCTTCAGGATAATATTTTCCTTTTTTAGATTCATTGCTATTTAGATTTATCCATTTATTTACTGTTCTCTTTCTCTTTAATCCATCATGTGTCTTGGACTGAGATCATTCTCCTGCCTGAGTTACATCTTAGAATGTTCTTTGCTAAAGGCCTATTAGAGCAACTTCTCTCCATTTTTGTTTGCCTGAGATTTTTTTCTTGAATGTCTTCTTAAAAAACATTTCTTGTGAGCATAAAATTTTAGATATTTTTCCTCCTAATGCAAAGGAGGGTTTTCAAGTTTTCTTTCTCTCTTTTTTAATTTGATGTTTTGTTGTCTCATTATTAGGTGTTTACATGAAGATTTCTTTTTATTTAGTCTGCTTAAGATTCCTTAGAATTCCTGATTCTGTAGATTAGCATCTTTTTTGATTTCTGAAAAATGCTTTCTTATATTTTCAGGAATTGCTTCTGGTGCAGTCTTCCTTTTCCTTTTTCCCCTCATTCGTCTTTGTGGACTTTCAGTTACTTAATCTTTTTTATTGTGTCCTTTTTACCTGTCTAGCCTTTCATATTTTCATTCTCATTTTTCTTAGCTACGTGATGGCTGATATTTTTCTAGTCTGTTTTTCAGTTTCCTGGCTCTTTTTCTAGCGGTATCAAATCTGTTGTTTAATCACTTCCTGGTATTTTTAGCTTCAATTTTGTTTTTCTTTCTTTCTTTCTTCTCCTTCTTCTTCTTTTTTTTTTTTTTTTGTT